GTTGTAGATCAGATAATCCTTTCTTAAGCACCGGTTTTTCAATGAAATTACTTATATTTAATGGTCTTTGCTTACCAGATTTTTTTTCTGCTATGAATAACAGCATAAGAAACACAAATGAAAATGGAAGCAAGCAGTCTTGAGCTTGATTCACTAAACTTTATTCGAGGAAATGCATTTTCATTATCTAATATATTTCCTTGGAGATGAACTGTCCATATTTTGTGTAAGGAGGTATATATAAAAATTAGGCTAATAATTCATGTACTCTTGGGCATTATAACATCAAATAAAAATTCCACTCTCTTTTCAAAGTCTGTAAGCTCATTGAGATATATATTAAGTTGTGATTTATTATATTTTCAATTCAAACTTATCTAAGGAACAAAACAGCATAAACATTTTTTATTCAATATTGAGAACATCATCTAGTATGTGAATTCAAAATATGTGTAAGAATTACCTAAGTGAAACACCCAACACAGCGTCTTATATATAGTATATGTTTGAACAATAAATTTATTAGATTTTTTAAAAGTATATATAAAAGATAGAAAAGAAAGTGTCAGAAAGAGAAAGAAAATAAGAAAAGAAAGAAAAGCTTCATATATTTTGGTATATCATCCCAAAAGTCTGGCAAATATGCTCTATGTATTGTTTATTGTGTAAGACTGTTTATTGTTTTTAATGCTACATAATTTTAAATCAGTGGATATCATAAATGTAGGTTCCACAGCACTTCAACAGAATTAACAACTAGAGCAAAACCAAACAAAGTCTTGTTCAGAAAAAAAATGGCAAATATTTCAGTTACATTACATTTGCTTTTAACATGTCACAAAGACCAATATATATGTAATGTAACAGGCAACTTCAAAAAACAATCTTTTTTTTTCTGGTTAAACTTACAAGTGGTCTTCTATTTGCTCAGGGAGGAGAGGAAAGAAGAAAAAATAGAAGGAAGAGAAAATCAACCTAACTGCTAAGCGTTTCAAATCACAGAGTGCATGCAGCCTCTGCACCAGGGCAGCCCAGCAGATTTGCCTTCAGTTAAGCACTATAAATTCACATTCAGCCAAATGAACTTTAAATAAATCAAAGTCTTTGCAACTGGCAAAAATGAGAGAAAATAACGTAATTTCAGTGAGACCGAAATAATCTATACAAACGTCAGCGCTCAACCATATTTGAAAAACTATACGTTACTTAAAGTTGGAGACTAAAATTGAGTAAGAAATATCAATCAAATCTTAAAGATGCTATATTAAGAGTAAAGAGTAAATGCTTTGGAAAGTGACAGCACAATGGAAAAAAATAAACTTCTTGGAATTATTTCATTATCAAGTGGCATTTGAGGTTGGAGAGAGAGTCATCCTTTTATCAAGATAAATATATTCAATTGTTGATTTTTGTGGCATTAGGTCCACTGCTTTGTGAAGTAGCTATACAGACATGCACTTGAGTGCACATACACACACACATTAGGTTGGTTACATAAATATAAACTATGGTGCATACATGCAATAGAATACTATGTAGGTATAAAAAATAAGAAAAACTCTCCAAAAGTTGTGACAGAGTAATTTCAGAATATATTGCTAAATAAAAAAGCCAAGGGAGGAGAAACAGGAATGCTTATTTGCTGCTGGTGGGAATGCAAAACAGTACAGCCACATTAGATGATAGTTCGGCAGGGTTTTTTCACACTTTAAGCCCACTTATCCAGAAATTGCCTTTTTGGCATTTGCCTAAATAAATTGAAAGCTTATTCTCACACAAAAACCTACAGATGGGTGTTTCTGGTAGCTTTATTTAAAATTGCCAAAACTTGGAAGTGGCCAAGATGTTCCTTGGTAGCTGAATGGATAAATAAAATGTGGTAGTCCAGTTTCAGCTTGCAAATGAAATGAGCTATCACGTCATTATAAGACATGGAGGAAACTTAAATTGCTAAAAGCCAATCTAAAAAGGCTACATATTGTATGCTTCCAACTAAATAACGTTCTGGGAATTGAGACAGTAAAAAGATCAGTAGTTGACAAGACTTGAGAGAGGAAAGTATAAATGGGTAATATATGATGATTTTTAAGAGAGCAAAATTACTTTCTATATTATACAGTGAATACATATCATTACGTATTTCACAGATTGTGTAACAAGAATGAACTCTGATGGAAACTGTGAACTTAGGTGATAATGATGTGTCAGTGTACGTTCATCAATTGCAGTAATGTACCGCTCTAAAGAAGGATGCTGATAGTGAGGAAAGTTGTGGGTATATGAAGGTAAGGGACATATGGAAACTGTAATTTCCATTCAATTTTGCTGTGAACCTAAAGCTTCTCTGAAAAATAAGGTCTATTTTAAAAAGCAAAATGATATAAATTACTTTGCAAGGAGAAAAGGAGGAAGCATGCTTATTTTTGTAAAAAAAAAGTAATAGGAAGGATGAAACAAAACCAGTGAATTTTGTTGTTTAGAGGAGATGGGTAGTAACAATTAATGGAGGAAGTATCACATTTTAAAGTACATATTTTCATATGTTGTTGACTTCTAGAAATAAATTATTTTACATATTAGAAATAAAATTAATAAATATTAAATAAAATCTAAAATTAAATGCAAAACAGTCTACCTGTATGCCAAATTAATAGCACATTAAGAGGAAAAATAAAATTATGTAAGTAAATGGACCATATACACAGTTCATTAAAATTTAAAAGAACTATAAATAAATATTGAACATTAATTAGCACTTTTGATATTCATATGGCATAAATATATCAATATCATAAATATTTTGTATATATCATATGATTGCGTAAATGAGTAATAGATTGGTATTATTAGCAGCTAGAATTCTCAGCATGAAAGAAAGTCATGCAAAAATGGAATGGGCGGATTACTATATATATATATATGTGCTATAAATATGTATGTTACTTTATATACACATATAAGATGTATATATGTATATGTTATATACACATAAAACATATACATAGGAATATATGAATTTATATCTGTATATATGCATACACATGTACATATACATATACACATGTGTATATGTGTATATATACATGTAATACATACATATATATGTGTGTGTGTATATATGTATGTGTAATAGGAAGGATGTAACAAAACCAATGAATTCGGTTGTCTAGAGGAGATGGGTAGTAACAATTAAAGGAGGAAATATCTCATTTTAAAGTATATATATATATGTCTGCTGTAAAGACCAAGAGAAGAAACAATGATCCTGATCTTTATTCTTCACATCAAAGGACGCAGAACTTCTTGAAGAAATGACTGATCCTGGGACTGATGAAGTAAAGCTACAAGGGGAGCCTTGAACATCTTCTTGAGCCAAAAATTAAAGATGTGCTCAAAAATTGATAGAGATGTGGAAAGAACATACGATCTTTCAGATGACTAGAGAAGGGCCTTTTGCACTGCACTTTCTCCTACTATGGGTGATCTGGCTTCTATCTGACCTTTTCTAACTACTCTTGGTTCCTTCTCTTAGTGCTGCACCAATACCCTTTGCTGTTGGAATCTCTGAACTGAGGCCAAACTTGTTAGGGTGTTCAAACCCAGTTACTTTCTGGGATATTAAATAATTCACAGGAAACCAATGCATTACTGGCAAGCTATAAAATGGATTATAGTCTGATCTCAGTTAACCTAATGCAGCCTTGAATTTTTTCTTCTATACATTATAGCAGATGTAGAGCCTGGAAAAATGAAAGCAATTTTCCATTCTTACTTTCATAACTCATGTTTACTACCAATTCTTTTGTAGGCCCTCTCACTGTCTTTTTTCCTTTCCAAGAAATGATGAGTTGATATTGCAGGCACTGAAACCAAGTGGCACTTCTCAGTAACCTGAGGAAGTAAAAAAGTAGTCTACCCCAATTTTTGACCAGGGTCTGTCTCTTATATATGCAAACACACATACTTGCATGCGTGCACACACAAACACTATTATGTAAAATGAATGCATATGTATACATTCTTATCACTATTTTCACTTAAATTATATTATGAGTATTTGACATATTATTGAATTATCTTTGAACCATGAACCATATTTTAGGACATCGTTATGCTAAATTTTCTAGATAATATATTAACGAATAGTATATTAATTTACATATAGATTATTTTCAGTATTTAATAACATGAATTACATTGTCATCACTTAGCATAAAATTTGATAACATTTCCGAGTATGTCATTAAAACAATTTGTAAGATATACAGACAAAATTGGTATTATTTCCACAAAATACCAACTTTTGCAATTGTGTCAGTTTTTTAAAGTTTAAATTCTGTATCAAAAATATTTAAAATGTTATGTTACATCACTTTCTAAATGCAGTTTCACAGTGAATTTTCTTTTACTGGCATAATTGCTCTTTGCTGAGAAATCATAAAGTTATGCGATTGATTTAGTTACTGTATGAAGATTTAAGATCATTTGTAATTATCAAATGTAGTTTTTAAGCTATATGAATAAAATGCCAAATGCAACATATTTAAGATATTTGGTTCATGCAGACTACTTGAACAAAAGTTTTACTATGTTTAAGATAAGAACATAGAAATGATTAAATTACTATCAAACTATGCCTCAGTTTATGTTAATGATATATTATGAGTATTTTCATGATCTTTCTCAGTATCCAAGACTCAATTGAAAATAATATGGCATACAATTCTAGTTTACAAGATCAAAATAAATATTTAAACTTGTTATAATTTGTTTCTTCCAAAGCTATACAGTTAAAATAATCATTTTATACAGATTGATTTTTCTATTATTGTAAGTTTTGTCACAATATAAATGGTTTCTTTTCATTTGAATAAAATATCTGTATTTTAGTCATTTGTATCAATCCCTAAAAAATTATAATTAGGCCAGAACATATTTCTAATCTAGGAAATGTATTTTCTTCTATAAGATAATTTGAATACAGACGTAAGTTAAAGCACGTACCTTTTTATGTGGCGATTGTAAGAGGCATTTTCTATTTTGCCATCCAATAAAGTAGATGCATCCCTGATGACTAGTTGAGATAAAAAGAGCTTCTATCAAAGATGAGTTATAAACTCTCAATTTACATTCTCTGCTACATGCCCATTACAAATAAAATTTCTAAGTAAGATATATTAAGTGTAATTGCCTAGGACTAGCCTATTAGTGATAAAAACATAGTGCTTTAGTGAAATATAATTATATGGTATTAGAACAGTTATTTCTCTTGTGGAAAAGTCAGCAGTTCAGACAGACATTTAGGCAAATGTTAAAATGATTTTATCACTATCCTATAGTTGAACCTTTGTTTATAGCTTTCTATTAATAAAAGTTGTCTTAATAACCACTATAAATTTTGCTGCAATAGTGCATTTGCTCTCTGATTAAAAAGGTCTATCAACTAAATACTGCAAAGCTGGGGGGATATTCAAATAATGGGTCTGAACATTTCAGAAAATGTGAGAGAATTTTTTGAAATAGTGAAATTCCATTTCTGGCAATGGTACAGTAAGCAACTCAAACAAACTTTCGTTCACTGAAGACAAGTATAAAATATTTGACTAACTTTTTAAAAAGATGCCAGAAAGAGAGATAAAAAGATAGAGGCTGATAGTGAGCCAGGAGTCAGCAATGACTCAAGTTTTGGAGTCATCCAAGCTTAGAGCTCTGCATTTAGGGTCACTTTTCCTTCCACGACTAATTCCAGAAGGGTGGCTGAGAACTCCAAGGGGAAATTTACACATATTTGCGAGGGCAAGCGGACAGAATTGGAGCATAGCATCCTCATAGGTGAGGAACACTGGTGACACTTTCTAATCTTGCTTGGAATGCTGAGAGCTGCACATTAGGAGTAGGCTGCCCTGGAAGTAGGTAAGCCCTAAAAGGACTGTTGCTCAGCTTCAAACTATCTCAATTCTTGAAACTATAGTTGTTGTCAAGCTATAATAGCGCCTGAAAACATTCCAAAATGCAAGTGTCCCTGGAAACAAAGAAAAAGCCATTCTGGAGGAAGATGATATCATTTAGACTTAAAACTATTTATATAAATGATTTATCTAACACAATGATGAGTACACAACATAAATATGGCTACATGTAAGAACAAAAGGCAACTAGGAAAAACTACAGAACATAAAAATAGAACTCAGAAGTTCAAGTGATTGGAGTAGTCATAAAAATGCTTTAAAATAACATTGCATGTTGTGTTCAAGGAAATGAAACTCGTTTGAAAAACTTGTAAAAAAAATGGGTATTTGCAATAAGAGCAACTTAATAAAGGAATTAGAACTCAATGGGTAGATTAAAGGGAAATTAGTCATAGTTAATAAAGAGTAAATAAACTGAAAACTATATCATAGAAAATATTTAGAATAAAGTATAAAGATTAAAATAGAATTTAAAATACAAAGGACAAGAGACAAGACAACGAAGATACATCAAGAAGGCCTAATACATATTTAATTGGAATCTAAGGAAAGAAAAGAAAAGGGTGAAGCAGTTTATAAAGTTTAATAGCTAAAAAAAAAAATTTCAAAACAACTTTTAAAAACAATACATTCAACAGGTCATAAAATTTCTAAGTAAGATTTTTTAAAAAGCAATTTACACCTTAGTGTCTCAGAGTAAAAACTGTGAAATGCAGAGACAGAGGAAAAAAATGGGGAAATGGGGAAAGACATCAGAGAAAAAAGCCACAGTATTTCAAAATATCAAGAGTTTTGTATTAAGATATTTCCAAATGGATCCTGAGGCAAGACTGAGCATACAAATAGTTTATTTGAATGATGATGAAGGAAACATAGTTAAGGTAATTGGTTTAAAAGAAAAAGAAAGAAGATAATATAAGTTGTGTTAATTGATCAATTGACTCAATCCTTCTGAGAATTTCCAAAAGCCTGTGTAGAAAGTGCCTTAGGATTCACACATCAGCTGAGGACTGAGGTTGTTGTATTTATTCATCGGCTTCCATCCATCACTAATTGAAGGGTACTCTTAGTTCATTAACTTCTAGGCACTACCAGCCAGCACCACATGAAGGCCAAATATGCTTTTGTAGCTAAAAAGAAATTCTAGCTGAGATTTGTAGGATATGGGAATAGAACTTGTTGTAGTATACAGCAATTGTCAGAGCTTAGGAGTTACAGGAGGAATATTGAGCACATCTGCTTCATTTCTCAAAATAAAAGACAAAAGCCTGAAGAAAATTGAATGATGCTATTTAAATGACCAGGTAAAATAATTGTTAAACTCAAATTCCATATTCCGTGAAAATATTGTACATAAATGCTGAAAGAAAATCAACTTGCAAGAAATCATCATCAAGCCGTTCTAAAGAAAGAAATAAAGATTTTTAGAAAGAAGAATAATTACTGTAATCTCTCTTAAAGAGCCAGAGATTCAGGAAGGATTAAAGAACAGCTAAAATGTTAAGTAATGGGTATATAAATAGAGTATTTAGTTTACTATATAGATCAGTCAAAACAATAAAAAATAAAATAAAGCTGATAGATTAAAAGTGGATAAGTAAGGCCAGGGGTGGTGGCTCAAGCCTGTAATCCCAGCACTTTGGGAGGCTGAGGCAGGTGGAAATCGAGGTCAAGAGATCGAGACCATCCTGGTCAACATGGTGAAACCCTGTCTCTACTAAAAATACAAAAAATTAGCTGGGCATGGTGGCACGTGCCTGTAATCCCAGCTACTCAGGAGGTTGAGGCAGGAGAATTGCCTGAACCCAGGAGGCGGAGGTTGCAGTGAGCCTAGATCACGCCATTGCACTCCAGCCTGGGTAACAAGAGCAAAACTCTGTCTCGAAAAAAAAAAAGAGTGGATAAGTAAAATTAAAAGAAACATTCTGAGAACTTTCATCATAGAAGAGAAAGAAAATATGTACTAATATTACACTTGAAGTAAAAAACATATGCTATAACGTTTAGCATAACCTCTATAGGACAGTAAACATGTATATAGTTCTAATGTTATAATGCTTAAAAATTGGAACAACAAGAAAAAAATGACTGTTACAGAGAACAAGAAAAAAAGGAATAATAGAAAATTTGAATATATAAGCATACCTCATTTTTGCACTTCACTTTATTGTGCTTTGAAAATGTTGCATTTTTTAAAAAATGAAAGTTTAAAGCAACTGCATTGAGCAAGTCTTTTGGCGCCATTTTTCTAATAGATATGCCAATTTAATGTCTCTATGTCACATTTTGGTAATTCTCAGAATATTTCGAACTTCTTCCTTATAATCATATATATTATAGTGATTGATCTATGACCAGTGATCTCTGATGTTACAATTGTTCTGGGGTAACACAAAGCATGCCCAGGAAAGATGGCAAACTTAATAAATGTTGTATGTGTCCTGACTGCTCCACTAACTGGCCATTCCTCTCACTCCCTTTTTTTGAGACACAACTATTCCCTAAGACACAGCAATATTGAAATTAGGCCAATAAACAACCTTACAATGGCATTTAAGTGTTCAAATGAAAAACAGATTTACATGTCTTTCACTTTAAATCAAAAGCTAAAAATCACTAAGCTTAGTGAGGAAGCCCTTTGAAGTCTGCAACAGACAAAAATCAAGTCCCCTAGAGCCAGTTGGTTAGTCAAGTTGTGAAAGGAAAAGAAAACTTTGTGAAGAAAATTAAGTGCCATGTCACTGAATACATAGACAAAAAAATGAAACAGCCTTATTCTGATAGAAAGTTTTAGTGGTCTAGATAAATCAAAACTGCCACAGCATTCCCTTAAACCAAAGCCTAACCCAGAGTGAGGCTCAAACTTTTATCAATTCTATGAAAGCTGAGAGAGATAAGGAGGTTGCAGAAACAATGTTTGATGCTAGCAGAGATTGGTACATAAGGTTTAAGAAAAGAAGCCATCTCCATAACATAGAAGTCAAGGTGAAGCAACAAATGCTGAAGTGGAAGTTGCTGCAAGTTATCCAGATGATCAGATGATCTAGCTAAGATCATTGATCAAAGTTACTACATCAAACAACGGATTTTCAATGTGATAAAATAGATTTATATTGGAAAAAGACACCATGTAGGCCTTTCATAGCTAGAGAAGAGGAGCCAATGTCTTGAAAGCTTCAAAGGAGCTTTCTTAGGAGTACTCTCTTAAGTGCTAATACAGGTGACTAAGTTGAAGCCAATGCTTGTTTACCGTTATGAATATCCTAGGGCTCTTAAGAATTATGCTAAGTCTACTCTGCCTGTGCTCTAGCAATGGAACAACAATGTTTGGATGACAGCTCATCTGTTTGTGGCATAGTTTATTGAATATTTTAAGTCCAATATTGCGACCTACTTCTCAGTAAAATAGAGTCATTTTAAAGTATTACTGCTAATCGAGAATGTACCTAGTCATCTAAGAGCTCTGATGGAGTTGTACAAGGAGATTGAAATTGTTTCATGCCTACTAACACAACATCCATTCTACAGCCAATAGATAAAGGAGTAATTTAGACTTTCAACTTTTGTGATTTAAAAAATACATTTTATAAGGCCCAGATCCATAGATAGCGATTCCTGTCATGGACCTAGGATACGTAAATGGAGAATCTTTCGGAAATAATTCACCATCTTAGATGTCATCAAGAACATTCAAGGTGCATGAAAGGAAGTCAAAATATCAACATTACCAGAGATTTGGAAGAAGCTGATTCCAACACTCATGAATCACTTGGAGGAATTCAAGACTTCAGTGACGCAACTAATTGCAGATGTTATGGAGATGGCAAGGGAAGTATAATCAGAAGTGAAACCTGAAGATGTGACTGAATTACTTCAATCCTATGATGAAACTTGAACAGATGAGAAGTTGCTTCCTATGGAAAAAGAAAGAAGTTTCTTGAGACAGAGTGTATTCCTGTTGAAGATGCTGTGAACATCATTGAAATGACAAAGGATTTAGAATATTCTATATTCACTTATTTGATAAAGCACCAGTAGGGCTTCAGAAAACTGCCTCCAGTTTTAAAAGAAGTTCTGCAGTTAATAAAATGCTATCAAGTAGCATCAGAGAACATATTACAGAGAAATATTTCATGAAAGAAAGAGTCAATTGATGTTGCAAACTTCCTTATTGTCTTATTTTTAGAAATGGCCACAGCCACCCAACCTTCAGCAACCACCATCAACCACCATGCAGATCAGTAAGCAATCATCAACATCAAGGTAAGATCCTCCAGCAGAAAAAAGGAGTCTGACTCATTGAAGTCTCAGATGGTTGTTAACAATAAGTATTTTTAAATTAACATATACACATTATTTTCTTAGACATAATGCTAATATACACTCAATATCCTTGAGTACAGGGCAAATATAACTTTAATTTCCACTAGAAAACCAAAATATCCACTTGCTTTAGTGTGATATTTGTTTTATTGCAGTGAGTCTAGAACTGAATCCACAATATCTCCAAGCTACGCCTGTACACGACAAATAAAAGCAGTTCATGTTATTTAGGTTTAAATATAACTCTATTTGTAACTTCCATTAATCTAAATGAACGAAATAGTATAATTAATAGAAAAAGATTATCAGATTAAATAATCTAAAGCCAGCCATAGTGGGTTGAATAGTTTCCCTCCAGAAATTAAGTCTACCAGGTGCCTTAGAATGTGACCTTCTTTTGACATAGAATCTTTGTAAATGTAACTGAAGTAGAAATTAAGATGAAGTCATGGTGAATTAGAGTGGATCCTAAATCCAGTGACAGTGTCTTTATAAGAGACAGAAGAGAACCTATGTGGGCACAGAGAAGAAAACCATGTGAAGACAGAAACAGAATGGGAATTATGCTGCCATAAGTCAAAAAAACCTTGGGGTTATCAGAAGCAGGAAGAGGCAAAAATCGTTTCTTTTCTTAGAGAAATGATGGCCTTACTAATATCTTGATTGCAGATTTGTAGCCTCAGGACTGTGAGAGTACTAATTTGTGTTGCTTTAAGCATCCAAGTTGTGCCAATTCATTGTAGTAGACCTAGCAAACAAAGATTTAGTCCAGGAAAGTGGGCTGCAAATATAAAAAATACTGAAAAGGCCAGCCACGGTGGCTCACGATTATAATCCTGGTACTTTGACAGGCCAAGGCAGGTGGATCACAAGATCAGGAGTTCAATACCAGCCTGGCCAAGATGGTGAAACCCCTGTCTCTACTAAAAACAAAAAAATTAGCTAGGCATGGTGGTGGACACCTGTAATCCCAGCTACTGAGGAAGCCGAGGGAGGGAATTCCTTGAACCCAGTAGCTGAGGTTGTAGTGAGCCGAGATCACGCCACCACACTCCAGCCTGGGTGACAGAGCAAGATTCTGTCTCAAAACAAACAAAAAATACCACCAAAAATGCATAAGTGGCTTTGGAAATGGGGAATGGCTACAGATTGGAAGAATTTTGAGTTATGTAACAGAAAAAGTATATACTGCCTTGGAGAGACTGATGGTGGAAATATAGATGTTGTAAGTACTTACGGCAAGGCCTCGGAGAGAGAAAAGAAACAAGGTATTTGGAACTGTAGGAAATGTAATCCTTGTTATAAACGGGCAGAAAACTTGACCTAATTGTTTCTATTGATGGATGAGGAACATAACTTGTAAGAACTCACCTTGGATATTTTGGTTAAGAGATTTCTAAGCAAAGTTTTTAAGGTGTGGCCTGGATTCTTTTTATTACTGATAGTAAAATGCAAAAAGACAAAGATACATTGATGAAGAAACTGTTAAGCAAAAAGGAAGCAACACTCAGTGTTTTGGAAAATTCTCAACGTATCAAGACTGCAAAAGATGCTAGCACATGCTCTAGAGAAAGGGTCAAGTGTGACTGGACAAACTTCTGGTAAAGAATTATATATATATATATATATATGCATCCAATCAACCATATCCACAGAAACCATAAATAGAGACAAGTTATGATAAAGAAAGGATTTGTGGAGACCCCTTTCTTTAACAATGTGGGTCTGCTTGACCCACATTGGCCCTCAAGGTTTTTCAGAATGTTATACCAGCAAAAACACTGGCAGCTTGGACTGCAGAGGACAGAAATAAGATGAAATGAAAAGGCTATCATTATTTGGTTATTCTACAAGTAAAAAGTGCCCTGATAGAGCAACTCTGGCAGAAAACAGGTGTTATCCTTCAGAGAAATGAAGAGTAATTCTGAGGGCAGAATTGTCACAAGGTAATTGCAAAGTTAATTCCAGAGGGTAGGCCAAAGAACAGACCATCAAGCCTCAGCCTAAGCCTTGAATTTACAAAACCAGCTCTGCTAGGATTTGGAGTTGCTTGGAATTAGTTATCCTTTACTCCCACAAATTTCTACCTGTGAATATAAAAATATGTATCTCATGCTGGTATCACCATTGCATTTTAAAAGCAGATAATTTTGTTGGTTTTACCTGTTCACAGATGAAGGAGTATTTTGACTCAGGGTGGACCATACACATTACATATTCCCAACCAAACATGGTCAAGAAGGTTTAGATGATGAAATTTGGTACTTTAGAATTTTTCTATTTTACTGGAAATATACACACATGACATAAAATTTGTCATTTTTATTTTTATGTGTAAAATGTTTTTGTCACCTCCTAAAAAAATCATAATTTTTAAGTAATAATTCAATAGTCCCCTATTCCATAAAACCTAGTAACCTCTAATTTATTGAAAGTCTCTATGAATTTGCTTACTATAGACATTTTCTTTAAATTATAAAATAATGGGCATTTTGTTCCTGGCTTATTTCATTTAGTGTATTTTTCTTGGTTTATCCTTATTGTAGCATGTATTAGAACTTCATTTATCTTTCTGCATGGCTAAATAATATTCCACTGTAAGGATATATATTTTATTTGTTTATTTATATGTGGATGAATACTCAGTTTATTTTCATCTTTTATTTGTTGTGAGTAGTACTGCAATAAATTTCGGTGTAGATTATCATTGGTTTCATGCTTTCAATTCTTTTGGGTATAAACCTAGACATCAAATTTCTGGGTCATATGGTAATTTTATATTTAGCTTTCTGAGGAAGCATCAATCTGTTTTCTACAGCTGCTGCAGTAATTTTATGTTCCCACCAGCAATGTATAAATGTTCCACTTTCTCCACATCTTTACAAACACTTGTTACTGTTCACTGTTGAATTTTAGTGTTCATTTAGGTTGTATGAACATTTTAACAATATTATGTCAATCCATGAACACAGGCTATCTTTCTATTTATTTTTGACTTCTTCAGTTCTTTCATCCAAGTTTTATGGTCTTTCACTTTTTTATTAAATTTTATTTATTTATTTATTTATTTGAGACAGAGTCTTGCTCTGTTTCCCAGGCTGGAGTGTGGTGGCCAGATCTTGGCTCACTGCAACCTCTGCTTCTCAGATTCAAAAGATTCCCCTGCCTCAGCCTTCACAGTAGCTGAGATCACAGGTACCCACCACCATCCCCAGCTAGTTTTTTGGTTTTTTTTTTTAGTAGAGATGGGGTTTCGCCATGTTGCCCAGGCTGGTTTTGAACTCCCAATTTCAGGCAATCCACGCTCCTCAGCCTCCCAAAGTGCTGGGATTACAGGCATGAGCCACTGTGCTCAGTAGGTTACATATACTTTTTAAGGTGTTTTCTGTTTTGTAGCTATTTTAACTCAATTGTTTTTGTAATTTTTTTTTTTAGTTTGTTGTCAATGTATAGAAATCTTACTGATTTTTCTATCTTGACTTTTTCATTTTTACACTATTAACTAATTTGTTAGCTGGGACCCAGGGCCCTGTTGGAGTCTGCTGCCAGTATAAGGTCAGCAAGCCAGGACACGGGGACTCAGGTATGCCTGTCTCCCTCTGAATTCCTACGCTGCCAGCAGGACTGAACTCCAACCACTACTGAGAGGGGCTACAGCCAAGTTTTAGAGCCTTTTCTGTTCCACGGCTGACATTAAGTCTGTAGATGTGTAACCTGCGGCACAGACGAATGTGACTGCTTCCAGGTCACTGGGTGGACAGTTCGGTAACAGGACCAAGAACAAATGAAGCTACAACCAAGCCTATTGTGGGAAGGACCAATTCAAGGTCTGGAGCTGGGGCTGCAGTCAGGGAGTCTGCCACATGGGGCCGTTCTGTCCTCTGAAAAGGATCCCCACGTCTTGGGCTGCACCAGGGTTTCACAACTTCCCACCTTGTTTCCCAGGTTCCCACAAAGATATTTTTGTCTGTGGATGGCTGCAAAATTACTGTTGTTGTAGGGGAATAGGAACTATACTGCTGACATCACTCATGTCAATTTCTTGTAAATATCATTCGATGTGGAAACGTTTTGGATAAAGTCCAATTTATCAACTTTTTGTCTTTTGTTGCTGTACTTTTAGTGTTATATCTAAGAATCCATAGCAAAATCCAAGGTCGTGAAGATATACGCACATATTTTCTTCTAAGAGATTTATGGTTTTAATTCTTATGTTTAGAATGTTGATGCATTTTCAATGCATTTTGGTACATGGTAGGAGACAGGGGTCCAACTTCATTCTTTTGTGTGGGCGATTTTGGTTGTTGTTCTAGCAACACTTGTTTGAGAGGCGATTCTTTCCCCATTGAGTGGACTTGGTGTCTTTGTGGAAAATAAATCGGCCGTAGAAGTAAGGGTGTATTTCCGAACCTTGAGTTTTACTCTATTGTTTTTATGTCTGTACTTTTAACAGTATTACACTGTTTTGGTTATTGTAGGTTTATAGAAAGTTTTGAAAATGGGAGGTGTTTATCCTCCAAATCTGATCTTTTCTCTCAATATTATTATGTTTGTTTGGAATCCTTTGCATTTACATACAATTTAAGC